AAAGCAGAGTCACTGAAGGTTCACTGGACCGAACTCTTAACACAGTTTCTCTCTCCACAGGTGTTGCTGAATTTCTCCAACAATTTCTGCTTTGTTTCAGATTTCCAGCATGTACAGGGTCCAGACCCAAAATGTCAGCTTTCCGGCTCCTCTGACGATGCCTGGCCAGCTATGTTCCTCCAGCTCCGCACCTTGTTTTACAGTTCTTGGGATTTTTTTTTGAAGATGTTCAGCCTTTCTCTCTGATGAGGTTGTCATTTCTCTCTCTTGCCTTATTTCCCTTTATTGCTTTTTGCTTCCCATCTCATGTTTGATCAGATAGCTATAAAAACTGATATTCACTATCACAGTTCCCTCCAGTTCTGAAGAAAGGTCATTCATTGGAAATGTTGAGCGGTAACTATTAAGGTGGGTGATCCAAGTCAGGAAATTTCTTGGGCCAGCAGATCTGCCTCAATAGAAAGTGCCCTGTCAGACCTAATAATCCTTTTGTAGGGGAGCTAAGGTGGGATAGTCAGGACTGCCACTCCCTGGCACAAATCAGTGACATAGGACATAGGGGCTGCCAAGTGCTGAGGCGAGCCTGTTAAAAAGCCGAGAATAAAGTTCACCAGAGAAATCTTAGGGCTTCTAGCCCTGAACCTTCACAGCCATCAATACTCACCGCTCCCTATGACATCTCCATACCAACTTAATATCAAACTGTGCCCCCCACCCCACCCAGTTATTGGCTCTTATAGCCCCCATGTCACTTTAATGCCAATTCATGCCCACCAACACTCCACCCTTGTTGCTTACACCTGCCATGCCAATCTCACTCAGTAATTCACCATGGGTTGACCTCAGGAGCCATGTTGTTTGAAATAAATTAAAAGTCTAAATATCTATTACTATATCAAACAAACACCCATTCATGAAAGTCCATTCAAAAATTTTAAATCTGCTGAAGTTATTAATCACTTTTAGAAAGAAACTTCAATTCAGGATTCCAGCTAATCCTTCAACAATCTCTTCGATTGTAAGTTTAGGACTTCACCCTGCTGAGATAATTATAGCTTATGGAAAGCACTAAAATATTCGCAAGGATATGATAATAGCCCTTGGGGAAAAGTTAACGAATAGCTATTGCCATTGGTAGAACAGGGATTTTTTAACTCTCACTGATGAAGGCAGCCTGTTTATCTTAAAACTTTTAAGGCCTAGATACTTAAATGACTCCATACGGTGACAGTTCTATAGATCTTATCCAATCTTCAATTTATGTCTGCTCTAAAAATGTTCGACTCCCAAAAACAGGGTCTGTTTGAACTGATGCTGAGCTCAAAGGGCCCCAGTGAGTTCAAGATTCTTGTGTGAGAATCATATATTTCCTTTTCCCTGCTAGTGAATATGGGAATACTGCCACCATATTTAAAGTTCACGGAGTTGTAACTTAGTTTGTTAACTCAGTAATCTCTCTGCAGAGGTTACGAGACCCATGGAGTATTTGTGGATTAATGGCATCCACAGTAATGACTCTGGGAGTTTGGGTGAACTAGCCTCTAGATCTTTACAAAACGTTGGTTTTTGCATTTTCCTTTTTATTGGTGCTTCTCTAATGATTTCCTTTTCTTGTTTTTTTTTAAATACATGGCATAGGTAGTCAATTTTTAATTCATTATTTGTTCCTAGGCTCCTGGTACCCATATTTTTGTTTTCCAAATCCAATTTTTTTTTTCATGTTAGCCACTCTTTCTTCAGATGACATGACCTTTGTAATACTGTATAACAAGGGTCAAAATTGGTTTGAAGGTGCTTATGTGATACTCATATCAATTTGTATTCGGTTCAAATGCATTGAAGTCCTATTAGCCCACTTGATTCATTTATGGTGGTGAACACTATATTTTTGTATTTACTTCCCTCACACAATGCAACACCTTATTTATAACATGGCTGTGTTTTAAGGGTAAGGTTAGGGATGGTGCGGTGGCTCGTGGTTAGCGCTGCTACCTCACAGTGCCAGGGACCTGGGTTCAGCTCCACCCTTGGGTGACTGTTTGTGTGGAGTTTGCATGTTGTCCCTATGTCTGTGTGGGTTTCCTCCCACAGTTCAAGGATGCACAGGTGAGGTGGATTGGCCATAGGAAATGCACACTTACAATGAAATTGTGTGGGAGCTGGTTAGGATGCTCTTCAGAGGGTTAGTATGAGCCAAATGGCCTCTTTTTGCATTGTAGGGATTCTAAATTACACAGCAGATTTTCGAGCCAAAGTTGTACACAGCTGAGTGTGTTTGAAGCCAAAACCAAGCAGAAGCTTGACAGGATAAGAAAATGGGAGATGACTGTAGACTCAAGCATCTATTAAAATAAGAACTTGCATTTATACAGCACTTTATACACTGCACGGTGTCACATGATGTGACTTTCATCAAACAAAATTGAACTATGAGCCACACAATGAAATGTGAGGGCAGATAGCCAAAAGCCAACATAATACTAGGCCACTGGCCCATTAAGCTTGCCCCATGGAAGATTCTGAGATCATGGTTGAGTGTCTACATTAATTCCACCAACTTGCGCCTTCCTTAACCCTTTGATTCATTTGGCCTCCAAAGATCCATCAATGTCTGCCCCAAATATACCCAATGTCAGAGCATCCGCAACTCAATACAGAATCCCAAGGAGGAGGCTTCAGAGGAGAAAAGTGGGGTACAGAGGCGGAGACAGTGAATTCCAGAACTTAAGGCCTTGGTGACTGAAAGCACAACAGCCAATGATGGAACAGTTAAAGACCAAGGATGTGCAGGAGACCAGAACTGCAGGTTGGTGAGTTGTTAGTTATTGAATAGAAACCTGAATGCATTATATACATGTTGTTGATTAATCTAGCCTGCTGCAGTGTGCAGAGACTACGAAAAAGAGGAAAACAACATTTGCATCCAAAAAATCAAGTCTTACAGTCAGCTGAGTAAAACCCCATTGTGTAAACTTTCTTAAACTTTATGTTTCAAGCTAATAAACACTGTCTGCATAGATCTCAAAGAATTGTCACAATATTGTGATGTCCTGTGCAGTCTCCAGAGTTGGAGACCAAGAGGGAAAAATACATAGAGCAGCAAATACTAGAAATCTCTGACAACAAAAATACAATCTGGAAAAGTGCTGAAAGCATACACTGTGGCCTCCAGTATCCCCTAAACAAGGCTCACAGATCTGAAAACATTAACTCGGTTTCTCTCTCCATGGATGCTGCTAGACCTGCTGAGTTTCTCAAGTGCTTTCTGTTTTCATTTCAGATCTTCAGCATCTGCAGTTTTCTTTTGTCTTTTTTATCTAAAGAGAAAGGCGCAGGTTGGCATTACAGCTGTGGACATCACAGGCATATCTTATAAAATCAAACCAATGCAGATGGTACAGTTCTGAAATAAAAACAGAAAGTGCTGGAGAAACTCAGCAGATCTGGCAGCATCTGTGAATAGAGAAGCAGAATTAATGCTTTGAATCCGATATTAATCTGAAATGACAATGAAATTTTGACCCAACTTGCTGGATCAGGTGGAGCACTAATATTACATGTCATCCAAAAGGGGCTAACATAACTTGAGTGGCACAGTGGCTCAGTGGTTAACAGTGCTGCCTCATGGACCCAGGTTCAATCCCAGCCTTGGGTGACTGTCTGTGTGGACTTAGCACACTCTCCCAGTGTCTGTGTGGGTTTCCTCCAGGTGCTCTGGTTTCCTCCCACAGACCAAAAATGTACAGGTGAGGTGGACTGGCCATGGGAAATTGCACATGGTGTCCAGGGATGTGCTGGTTAGGTGGACAACCCTGGTAGATACAGGGATAGGTCTGGATGGGGTGTTTTTTAGAGGGTTAATGTGGACTTGATGGGCCAAATGGCCTGCTTCCATCCAGTAGGGATTCTTTCAAGATCTATGAACCCAAGCTGCCAGTTAGGAGCTAAAGGGAATGTTGGTTTTCCATCCCCAGCTGTTTCAATGCTACATTGAGGTCAATGAATTATATTGGCCTGGTGTAAAGTTAGTAACCCACCTGAAACTAAACCCAACCAACTATTTTAAGATTGTCCCTTTCATCTATACTTAATTTGGGGGACTCAATTACTAGGGGTCACGATTTCAAGGTGACAGGGGAAAAGTTTAAGGGAGATATGCGTGGAAAGTTCTTTACGCAGAGGGTGGTGGGTGCCTGGAACGCGTTGCCAGTGGAGGTGGTAGAGGTAGGCACGATAGCGTCATTTAAGATGTATCTAGACAGATACATGAATGGGCAGGGAGCAGAGGGATACAGATCCTTGGAAAATAGGCGACAGGTTTAGAAAGAGGATCTGGATCAGCGCAGGCTTGGTGGGCCGAAGGGCCTGTTCCTGTGCTGTAATTTTCTTTGTTCTTTGTTACAAACATACAAATTATGAGCAAGAATAGGCCCTCGACCCTGTTCTGCCAGTCAACGATCTGATCATAGCTTCTGCTTTGAATTCCACATTTCCATCTATTCCTGACAGCCGTTGATTCCCCTGCCTAACAAGAATCTATTTACCTCCACCTCACAGATCCCACCCCCATCATCTTCTGAAAAAAAGAGAGTTCCAAATTCATACAACTCTCTGAGAGGGAAAACTGCTCCTCATCTCTATCCTAAAAGGGCAACATTTAATTTTAATTCAGTGCCTTCTAGTTTTGGACCTACCTGTAACAGGAAACATCCTTTCCATTTCAACCTTCAGCAGTCATCAACGTATTATTTCTGACGCTTAGGGACATGCCAGGTATGTGCAGCACATTCTCCCGTTATTAACAATTACAGGTAATGCGATGCAACAAGTATTGGATACATGTGCTTTGAATCAATATTGTGCTTTTGTTTTAATCTACAGAGTATCATTCCCACTACTGCAGCAGTGGGATCAAACATTTTGCACACCTCCATGCAAAGAATTGTGTCCTTGTCACAGCCTGGCAAACATGGTTCTTAAATTACTTCTCAGTTCCTTACCTTCTGAGGACAGCAATTTCATTTTCAATGCTGCTTTCTTTGCCTTTTAAGGCCTTCTTTGGGATGCATTTAATTGCGAACATTTTCCCAGTCATTTTTTCCTTCGCCATGACTACTTCAGAAAAGGCGCCACTGCAAGTAAAGCAAAGACAGAGAAGACGTCAGGCACTCTGAGGGAAGGGCTGTCTTTGGTGCGACATAGAACAATAACCTGCAAAAGTAACAACTTCATTCTTCATAAATATGTCAACAATGTTGCTGAAACTGGAGGAATTCCTATCTCAGATTAAAAGTGCTTCAAATTGTTGAAACAGAACTGAAAATTGACAAGTGACTTGCAAGCTAATCAGCATCCCTACTTCCTCCAGTATAAATTGTTGTGATCATTTTGGTGTTCTTGTGTTTATCCTGATGAGTGCAAGACAAAAAGCTTCAATATAGAATTATAGAATTTTACAGTACAGAAGACCATTCAATCCATTGTGTCTTTCCTGGCTCCAAAAGACATATTATCGCTCTTTTCAGCTATATATTTGACTCAGGTAAACTAGTCTTCAAGAAATAAAAATGCATGCATTTGTTGACATTTCCCAATAGCTCTGGAGTAGGTGGGATTTGAACCTAGGACCCCTTGTCTGGAGGTAGGGACGCTATCATTATACCACATGAGCCCCCATAGGCTTGGATTTAAACTACAAGGCTTCCTAAAGTGTTTAACAGCCAACTAATTGTTTTTAAACTGAAGTCACCATTGGTGCTGCGGGAAGCATGGTGGACAATTCTCAAACAGCAAGAACCACAAATCACAGTGTGATAATGACCAGACCATTTGTTTCAAATGGCGATGGCAAATGAAGGATAAATACCAGCCTTGACACTGGAGGTAATTTTACTGCTTGCCTTTGTAATAATCCCATGGGATCTCTGCATACAACTGAGAGGGTAATTGCTTTAAATCTCATCTGATTAACTGCAGACCCAGCAGTGTAGCCCTCCCATTGCACTGCAATAGATTATCAGCACAGATTTTTGTGTTCTTGCGTTACTCGAAACCACAACTATCCCAACTAGAAGTGCAAGTACTATCAACTGAGCTATAATTGACACGTTAAGACTTATGCTCTCTGCAATACTAAAGAATAAACAGTCACATATGACTGTTCATATTTATTGACATCTGTTCAGCTATTGATATACTCAGATTACTTGTCTACACTCTTTGCTAAAGCAGAAAGATATTAGCGATAGCTAGAACTGATGAAGGGTCCTGATCCAAAACATTGACTCTCCTGCTCCTCTGATGCTACCTGTCCTGCTGTGTTCTTCCAGCTCCACACTGTATTGACTAAGATATTAGCTATGCCTTAGAAACAAGGGAAAACACACCATGCTTGTTGCTTTGATTGGAAGATGAAGCTTTCTAAAATAAATCTTGAAACTTTTCTCATCAGGCTTGTTTCTCTTGAAGAACTACTGTTCTGAAGAAGAGTCAGACTGAACTCAAAATGTTAATTCAGCTTCTCTCCCCACAAATGCTGCCAGACCTGCTGAGTTTCTCCAGCATCCCTTGGGTTTGTTTCAGAATTCCACTATCCGTAGGATTTTGCCTTTATTATTAAACTACTGTTAGTGGTTGGTATTAACAATTCCAGCAGAAATAATGGGCAGATCAAACCTTTCTGATAGGTTTGCAATGTTCCTGATATAAACCCAAATGAGGAAGCCATCCTTCCAGGTCAGTCTGAAAGTAAGTGTTTGATAGAAAGCTGAGAAATGTTTGTCTATTCATCGACAGTTAGTAGGATTTGCTGGTGAGGTCAGCGTTGATGACCCATTCACCAAATTTCCTTTAACTGCGTGGCCTGCAAGGCCATTTCACACAGCATTTAAGAGCCAACTGCAAAGCTCAGCTTATTTTCTTTATGTTGGATATTGCTAGAATTTATTACCCAGTCCCATTTTTTATTTCATTCATTTACTCACAGGATGAGGGCATCGTTGGCTAGGCCAACATTTATTACCCATCCCTAATTGCCCAGAGGTCAGTTCAGCGTCAACGACATTGCTGTGGGCCTGGAGTCACATGTAGGCCAGGCCAGGTAAGGATGGCAGTTTCCTTCACTAAAGGACATTAGTGAACCAGATGGGTTTTTCCAACAATCGGCAATGGATACATAGCCATCAATAGACTCTTGATGTCTGATTTTCAGCGAATTCAAATCCCATCACCTGCAGTAGAAGGATTCAAACCCAGGTCCCCTGAACTTGACCTGGGTCTCTGGATTAACAGTCCAGCAAGATAGTACCACTGGGCCGTCGCCTCTGAGGAGGCAGAAGTGAGTTGGCTTCATGATAACTGAATGTGTAATTGGCCATTTCATGGGAGCTTAAGAGTCACACACATTGTTGTGGGCCTAGACCCGGTATGAATGGCAGATTTCCTTTACTAAAGGATGCAGTGAACCAGCTAGATTTTTACAGTCACCATTACTGTTTGATTCTATTAATTTATAAGTTCACCAATTTTAAGCTCCCAGTGGCTGTGGTGGGATTCGAACTCATGATCATTGAGTTACTAATTGATGAACAGAACATTATGCCATCTTCCCAATGGTTATTTTTAAATACAATTCATCATGCCACAAAGTATAGGACATGAGCTTAGAACAAAACAAGGGAGCAGATACTAAGACAAGGTGAGGTGCTGTTTTCAGTGTAACGGATAAAAAAAACTCAGAACAGGAATGCTTAGTACTGTAAACCCCATGACTCCAGCACATGGATTAAAAGTGATTTTTAGCAGAGGTCTGGGTACATGCAAGCTGTCTGCATCAGAGTACAAAGTAGCTACTTTACAAAGAGATGCATGCAAAGAGAATTCTATAGAAAAGAGAAATGGTTTCACAACATGCAATGGCTCAGCAGTGAATAAAGCTCTTCATTGGTATTACAAAATTAAACTGTGCCCCTGTACTGCCCTGCTCTCTGATACTCACAATAAATCACAGTCTTACTGTCCCCATTCAGTCAACCTGCCAATTCCATAACCACCTGGAACCTGGTGATAAGATTGTCCTTTCCAGGCTTCCTCATGCTCTAATAAACTCAGCTCCAGTGTTGAAGTTTTACAAATCATTTACACTCGCCATGTAATACAGTATACAGAACTTGACCATTCATGTCTATCCAGCCTTTCGAGTCTGCGCCATCATGCGTTGAGGTAATCGTTAACTCCACTTTCTTGCCTTTTCCCCATAATCCTTGCTTCCCTTACTGATTAAAAATCTGTCTATCTCAACTCTGAATATACAAAGTCAGAAATCACACGACACCAGGTCATAGTCCAACAGGTTTATTTGAAATCACAAGCGCTCCAAAAGCTTGTGTTTTCAAATAAACCTGTTGAGCTACAACCTGGTGTCATGTGATTTCTGACCTTGTCCAGCCCGGTCCAACACCGGCACCTCCACATCATTACTGTAATACCACCAGTGTACCGTGATTCTAAGCACAGGAGGGATTCCATATGAGGGCAACATCGTTCTTTTTAACACACTGTTCCAACAGTTAGAGAACCAATAGATCACGTGGCTTATTGTGTTATTAACTGAACATTATGCACACACAGCTGTGATAGACAACAGTTGACTGTAGATGCCTGGGATTGGCATTTTCTCATAACAAACAAGGATTGAATTTTATATATTTGCTTGGAAGCACAGAGTTACATCTATTTGATGAAACATTCATGGGCTATGTGGGGAGGGAGGGAGATGGTTTTGACAAGAATTTGGACCTCAAGACGGTTTTATTATTCACGAGCTTTTCTTCAATTGCACACAGGCACTGTATAATTAATATTTTTTTCATGCCTGAGAGAATATTTGAAATATGCTTTTGTTTCCAGACACATCTATGTATTTAATATTGTCCTGAGCATGAGGAGCTGAAGGGGGAAATCAGCACAGCTGTTTTTTGCCAACTGAAAGCTGATGCTTCTTCACTCGAGTTTGAAAATTGCTCATCACAAATAGAACTAATTTCTTCATTCACAATTTATCTTATTGGCAGATATAATTAAATTATAATCCTTCTTGGGACAAAATCATCTGGCAGGGTATCAGCGCAACAAAGGATTTGTACATTTTTTACAAACTTCCTTTGCATGTTATTTTAACAGAGCCATTGACCTGCTCAACAGAAGATACAAGGCATCCAGGCAAAGGTGTTAAGAATTCCTTCCTTGTTAAATTCACACATTGTTGAAACTCCACATTACTGAATTCTAATAGACCTCATCCTCTGCCCTGCTCCTTTCAACACTGCACTACAAGCTTCAATCTTGTACCAAGATTCACCAAACCACCATCCCCTGCCCCTCCAGAAACAATGCCAATTATAAACTGCGGGTCAAAGTTGAATATCTCTCAGCCAGCACCTCAATTTTCAAATTCTCACCCTGGCTTTCAAATCTCTCCACAGCCTTTGCCCTCCCTATTTCTGTAATCGTCTCTACCCCAACAGCCCCCTGGGGCCTCTGCATTCCTCTCATTCGGGCCCCCGAGCATCCTGGATTTTAATCACTCTACCATCATAGGCTTGGATCTAAACCCTGAAATTTTCATCCTAAATATATCCATCCCACTACCTCTCTGCTTCTTTATGATGCTTTGTTAAATCTGGTTTTTTGGTCATTATGCTCCTGTGTAGTCCTTTGGCACATTTTACAACAACAGCTGATATTTAGGTAGCATCATCAACATAACAAAGGCTTTTTCACGGAAGCATTACAGCCTAAAATCTGAGACTGAGCTGCATGAAGGGATATTAGCTCAGATACCAAAGGCTCGGTCAAAGAGTCAAACAGCTGGATGAGCATTCCAAACACCATTTTTGAGATGAAAGTTTAAGAAGATTTCGGCATCTTTTCTTTCCTTGTGATTCTATTTCTTTTATTTCTCCTGTTGTTTTAAAATACTAGTTTTGTAACCAAGATAGTGCCAGTGAATGGTGACTTGTACACTTTTCACACTACTCGTGTTCCTATACTTGAGCACTCATGACAATAAAATCTAATTCTAACTCTAGTTCAAAGTCCATTCAATGACTTTGAAAAAGAAGGAAAAGTGCAC